ATACGGTTAGAAACGTCATTGACACCTCATCACCAATGACAAGCCAGCATCCCCAATAAAGGCAAGAGTTTGCGAGGCCCTTCACCACAGTAGAATAATTTCCGTAAGAAACACAGACCAACGGGAATATACGTTTTTTCATACTCTTCGACAGATCATGGTTACTCCAAAAATGGCAAGTCGACGACCAGCGAAAAGAGTGAGTAGTAGCCTATAGTTAAATGCGTTGTTTCTCTTCTGTGATATTTATTTCCAACCTGATCTCATGAAAGTGCGTATAAATAGTACGCCAAATAAAAACGAAAACTCGTGGTATTGATACGCACAACTGGACTTTGGCGTGTATATGCTACGCGATGGGTAGGTTTAGGGTTGTGGGGTAGATTCGTATCATATGTACGCCAACAAATTTCGTATCATATGCACGCGAAAACTGCGTAGTATATGCACGCCAAAGTCAATTTTTGCGTATCAGTACCACGTTTTTATTTGGCGTACTATTTATACGCATTTTCATGAGACCGGGCTCTTATTTCTTAATGGGCATTTATGATGATTTAGAGTTTTAAACATTCTCAAGTTCACTTTTTTTTTTTTAATTCAAACTAAAGTTTTAGGGTTTTATATTTTAAATGTAAATGTAAATGATAACGTGATTCGTCTAGATCTTGAAACCCATAATAGAGAAGAAACGGAGAGACCGGATTAACCAGCGTTTAGATGAGCTGCGAACGCTTCTCCTGGATAACACTCTAGACTCGGTAAGAAAAGAAATGCAGTTTTTAATCCATCTCTCCCTTTATGATATAAATATGTTATTTTAAACGTAGGCTAATGAAATGTTTCAGTAGCATAATGCATTTACATTCGCTTTTACAGCGACTTCAAAACCCCAAACTGGAGAAGGCTGAAATTCTGGAATTAACTGTTGAATACATTCGGACAAAAGCCACAGCTGCGAGAGATCGTCTAGGTAAGTTTTCTGTCTATACTTAAATAATTTTAAAAGAGTGTGCTTATTCCCACATTTTATTATAAACATCATATTTTGGCCTTATATTTGTGTAAAGCTCTAAAAAATGCTGGGTTAAATACAACCTAGTGCTGGGTAAAATAGGGACAAACCCAGCAATTGGGCTGTTTTGACCCAGCGGTTGGGTTAAATGTTTAACCCATCCTTCTGGGTAGTAACCCAACCGCTGGGTCAAAACAACCCAATTGCTGGGTTTGTCCCTATTTTACCCAGCACTGGGTTGCATTTAACCCAGCATTTTTTAGAGTGTAGATTGACTTTAGCTATACACATGATGCTGCCGAGTTTGACGAGTCTAATTGATTTTGTCTCTGTCTCTTTCCCCTCCTGTTTTTATTATCCTCAATTCCTAAATCTAACCCAAAATAACTCCATATATTGACTTTTCATTTTGGCAATCAATGAACCAAACCCATTTTCCTTTTCTCCTAAAATCCTCCTCCTCTAACTCTGCTTAAATTCTCGATTTTTCCTCAATTTCTTGATTCTCTTCTCAAACGTTCCTTTGAATGAACCGTCAATAACAACCCTAAATCAACATCTCATGTTGTTCTTTCTCACCGAAACACTTTTCCTTTTTTGTACACCTTTACCTCCATGCCTCTCGGCTCTCCTTAACCTCACCCTCCACCTCAGGCGACTCTAACAAAGACTCGGACCCTCATGATGCTAACGCTCCGACTCTGCTCTCAACGAGACCCCACGTACCCTTCGCTTCAGTCCCCGAGTCTATCAGTGTCCAGAAGCAGATGCCCTCCAATCCTATCTACAAAGCTGGTTTTAATAAGTGTGTCTCCCGCCTGGCCAGCTTCATCGAATGTGTAGAGCCTTCCCAGCGAGACGGCTTCGTTCAAGGCCTGTGTCACCACCTTGACTCCTACAGCAGTACTCTTTCCCAGTGTAGAGTTTCCAGCCAAGCTGCCCACCATCCGTGGATCCCAAATGCAGAGTTGACATGCAGGACGGACGTCCCTGCGATAGGACCCATGAGAGCCAACGCTGAGCCATTTTCCTACACCAATAGTTTGTATCCTCAATCTTTTATGCTCCATCCCACAGGACAGGCCATGCCACATCCCTACCTCTCCCCTCCATACTCCCTCTCTCCTCCACCCTCTCCTTGTTACTCAAGCAGCTCTCCCACATACCTCTCTGTCCCCTGCCATTTCCCTTTCCCTCCCACCATCTCTCCACTCTCCAGTGACTCTTCCTCGTCATCTTTCAGTCTCTCAACCCCTGCCGTGCCTATAGTCCCAGGACCTCATGTTCAGGTGGGCTCCCCCACTCGAGTGCGACCCACTGTCTCGACTCCCTCTTGCCAACCCCGGACTCTGAGACGGGCTCTGTTCCACAGCCAGCCACAGTCTGTGTGGAGGCCCTGGTGAGCAAAACCCAAAACACTTAGTGACTCCGAGCAACATCTTCCCATCAGATCTCCCTTCAGGCATTGAGGAGGCTTGTGGGCTTCACATGGAAAAGAAATGGACACGAGTGTCCTGTGCATGAGTACAAGTGAAGGCGAGTGAGAAACATTAGGAGCTCTGTGATAATCACACGTGACTCGGTTGTTATTATTGCTCATGTATGTGTTTGCAGTTTTTGCTTTAACTCAATTCCCGCTATCACATTTTTTCTTTGTTCTGCATTCTACTTTCCTATCTGAAATTCTTTATTGTATACAAATTGTGTATATATATATTTATTTTGTCCCTATTGTACATTGTAATTTAACAGTACATTTTTTTTACTAAATAAATCTATATAATTTTGTTAATTTGTATTATTTCTTCATTCTATCTATCTATCTATCTATCTATCTATCTATCTGTCTAATGTTTTTAAAAGAAGTCTCTTCTGCTTACCAAGAATGCATTTACTTGATCAAAAATACAGTAAAAACTATAATATTGTGAAATATTATTACAATTTAAAATAACTTTTCTATTCTTGTAATGGCAAGGCAAAATTTTCTTATCAATGTTGAAAAGAGTTTTGGTGCTTAATATTTTTTTCTGGAAACCATAATTCACTATACCATTCAAAAGTAAGAATTTAAGTATATTAATAATTGAGTACCAATAATAACTGAGCAGCAAATCAGCATATTAGAATGATTTCTGAAGATCATGTGACACTGAAGACTGGAGTAATGATGCTGAAAATACAGCTGCGCATCACAGAAATAAATTAATTTTAAAAGACTTTCAAATATAAAACAGTTATATTATATAATATGCCTCCAGTTATGGATATTTCATGGACAAAAAAAAAATAAAATAAAAGCTAAAACAAGCTTTTAAGAATATATAAGGCAAAAAACTGTATACTTAGCAATGTCTCATGAATTTCATGTGGTCATAAAGTTGCATGTGTAATTACACAAAATATAAAACAGTTATTTTATATTAAATAATATACCTGCAGTTATTGACATTTCATGGACCAAAAAAACAAAAAAAAACAAACAAATCTAAAACAACATTTTAATCATACATAAGGCAAAAACAGTGTACTTATAATCTTTCTTGAATTTCATGATGTCATAAAGTTGCATGTATAATTACACAAATAAAATAAATGTTTAAAATTAAATAAAATGAAGCATGTCACACTGCATGACATGTCACCAACCAATGCATTCACCTGCAGAAAACCTCTGTTAGTGTACAGATGATATACTCAGAGAGACCAGGCCTAATGATCAAGTACTGTACTACTAGCTTGTGAGTCAGAATTTACAAATGTCAGATGTGTTTTATCTAGCAGTGGTTTTTGCATGTTGCTTTCAAAAATGAATACAAGCCACAACAGCATGCATTCAGCCAGAAGTCACCCGTGTATAAAGGTTGTTTTTACAAATTTCATAAAAGTAAGAGCGGTGCAAATAAATGCATTTATGAATATATGATTTGCTGTTTCATGAATTGTCTTGTTTTTCATAACTGTTTTAATTTTGCCCATAGGCTGTTTGTTGACGGGTTCCATTATATATATATATATGATCTGCTGGTCAAAGAGACTTACTGTTATAATTTATCCACCTCCTACAAACGGAAAATGCTGCATCAGCTGTCACCAATAGGAACCAGATTTTTTTTTACATCTCAGCTGATATATTATTTCCTTTATGACATCAGGAAATCAAAAATAGGTAGGCCTACTTGACAATCTCATCGATAGATAGTTCATTTATACTTTTTCTGACTATCACAGCTGCTACTTGAACAGGATGAACTGTTTGTGATGGTATAATGTTGTTTGTGAGTTGTTAAAACAGGAGTGTCTTGTTTTATTTACGTATATATTTAGCTTATATTTGTGCCTTTGAGGACTACAAAATTGTGCACGAGTTAGTGCGCTGGGACTACAAATCCCAGTGACTTTAGTCGCCATGCACAACAACCGCACGCGGGGGCGGGAACCACAAAGCTTCTGTTTACAGCTGAATCACATTAAAATACAAGCAATAGCGGAAGTAAAGAAGCTAGTGCTTAATAAGTAGTCAGCTGCTGAATGTGCATTTGAGGATACTGCCTGTCAATCAACTGGCAAAAATGTAGTTTATTTACACGCTGGATAGAAAAGCAATAGGGCATCTTGTGCTTGCCTGTGAGGAAGTGTGCAGTGTATAAACAACAGCCCAAAACACACACGAACCAACCTGCTGTCTTATCATAACGCAATAAAATGAAACAAGCGTCAGGAGGTTCAAACGAGGTCGCTACGCAATTCGTGCGGCGATGAAGCCAGTTTAATAACGTTGACTTTTTATGAGCAGGCACATATTTAGAGCACCTAAAAAGTCGAATCTAGGCTAATCCCGCCCTCCGCATTCCATGATTGGACAGTGAAGCGAGGGTTTCCAGAATACGCGCGCACCATTGGCTGTTGCAGCTGCCTATCGCGACGTCATCAGGCGATCGGGACTATATAAAGCGCCGAAAGCCCCGTTCCTCACAGTCAGCGAGGCTCCGCAGCTCGTTACTAAGGTCAGCTGAGTAAGTGCAGTAGTTTAGGGGTTAAAACAATAAACAGCACGCGACCATTGTGATCAGTTCCTCCACACAGCCTGCCGACTTTCTAAAATAGTGTTCGTTTGTGTTTCACTAAGCGTTATTTTGAAGGGGCGTGTCCTCTGAATGTGTTATTTTGAGTTCGAGATCCTGGTTCGGTGTCTGTTGGTTTTCTCTCTTCTGTTGTCTTCGTGCTGGTTTTGCTGTGTTGTGTATTATTCATGAATGCTGTTTGGAGGCGGGCGCGCTGACTCTGAAGGTGGGTGGACCTTTCGCGAACGCTGACCAAACGTTTACTTTCTGTATGCACACTTGACACATTGTCAGGAGCTCGTGACATCAAAGCACTTCTTTCGTCGGACTGTCTTAAGTAATGCGTTTTTTATATTTTATGTAAAAAAAAATTTTCTCGGTTTAATCAGCCTTTGCATTTAAATAGTTTAGATTATATAATGGCTGTTGAGCTAAATGTAGTCAAAAACCTAAACGACTATCTGTAGGATTCTATCTTAGTAAGTTCTACTGTAATTTAGAACCCATCAGTAAACTGAAATTCTAAGTCTTTTCTCTTAGAAATCTTTCTTGGGGTTTGGTTGAATATTGTGTGAATATCTGTAAACTCTACTATATATATATATATACACATACACATACACATACACACATATATTGGGAATCCTAATAGTCTTCTTGAACTTTGTAATCTTAACAATCTTTTAACTTTGTACTCTTAAAAAAATGTCCTTCTTAGATATTTTGATATTAAAATGTGTGTGTATA